TCTTACCTCGAAGTTGTTGGAAGCTCACGGTTCCTGTATTTTCACTATCTGTATTGCGGAATGATCGTTGAAGCTGCTGCCAAGATTTACAAATCTAGACAAGAGATACATCAAAYACCTTRGATWAAMGTTTCTCTGACGGCGCACGATTAGGCTAGAACCAAAAAATCTTCTGAGTTGACCCTGCGTTACTATAGTAACTTTAATCGAGTCATACTCAACGATGGGATTTTTAAATCTCATGTCCGTGAAGGCCTGGGTTGGGCCGCTCACTGCTCAATACACGCTAGTCCTAAACAAATCTCAAAACCTTAGAACAATTCTTCTAGGGCAGTCTTAGAAGAACACGGCCCTGAAGAAATAATCAAAAATTCCACTTGAGACATACTTGGTTTTTAAGTCTTCGTTCAACATCACTAGCGCTCATGGGTGGGGTGACTGTRTCTGGTGAGGTCAAACCTCTGCTTGGTGACATCATAGGCGACAGCAAGGAAGACTGAAAATCAATTAGATGTTAGTAAAACGTCCACTGATGTAATTGTCACCGCTATCCTCTGTGGAGATAGCTTGAAGTCGCTTAGTGACCTAATTACCTGTCGCTCTTGAGTTCTAGGAGGAGTAGCTGAAGATGCCCTTGTTACGTTAGTCCTTGATGAATATTTCTTTAGAAATTCTCTGTAGTCAACCCCTCCATCTGGTGCTTTTGGAATGGTATGCCATATATGGTCAAATTGCTCATCATTCATTCKGAAAACGTGACGATCCAAAACGTTGCGSAGAGAGCTTTTGTTGATTGTTCCTGTTCTTTCAATATCTTGCTCGGTCAAAGCCTGTTGATGGCATAATTAGTTTATACTTCAAAAAAAAAAACAGCTTACAAGAGATAGAGATACATGACAACATGCGCAAAAAAATAACKAAAGTGTCGSCTTGTTTGATGGTACTGGACGGCGTTGGATGGGGTACCGAACACATTAGATGGAGTTTGGTCCACCCAAATGATTATTTGACCTGCCTAACAATGTTTGATGAAATTTGTCGGCTAATAAGTTATCCTTTCAGAAATACAGGTTGTATCCACACTTACCCAACTGTATCCGAAAAGTTTTAAAAAACACAATGAAATGCTTGAAAACGCTCCGTATTCACGAAAAAAAATTGCAGATACAAGTTTCCGTGCATGTCTAGACAAGGCCTAAGACTTTGTACCACTAGCAATTTCTAAGTGTTTAGATCGTTCACATTTTCTGTACCTTGACAAGATTGTAAAACCGTGCCATAACGACTTCCTTAACCCTTGTTTCGACGTCTTGTTCTGTCATTGTGTGTYTTGGTGCAGGGGAACGTCGCTGTTTGGTAGGCGATGGTAATAGATTTTCTAACCACTTTCTACTGGCCTATTGAAACAGAATTCCTTTARTCCTCTAGCTTGTGCATTGGTGAAACAGAAATAATGGCAAAAATGGAACAAAATATAGCTAATGAACACGAATATAAAATTCATCTCGTCGTCTTTAGTGGTATATTATTCAGYAAACGATGCACTTTGTAAATCTGAGAAATAAAGCTATATGACCAAGATGTCTCAGTCTGGAATGCAAACATTAGAATCAGATTGAGATGCCGTTATCCTATTCACGGGTATAGTGCCATCATTATACAAACCTCGGTGTCAGATTGCTGAAAACTACGAAGAAAATCGTCATARTATAGTAGACCGTCCTTATCCACAACAATGTGCTTCAGGAGAGCCTGGTGACATAAAAATTCAAATTAATTAGGGATTAAGGTGAGGTAAGTCAAACACGTTCGTCTGAAGTGGATTTAGAAATGTCAAGCTTGTGTAAAGATTATACACAAATTACAGGTTTAACTAACTACAAAGTAGATTACTAGGGTAGGGTGGGTAGATATTATTTTACAGAAAAAAATTACTAACAAGGGGAGGGTAAGTAAATCATACCGCTTTATAAGTACAAAAATACAATAGACAGGATGGGAGGGGTGGGAATGTAAAAAAGGTTACCTTGAATTGTTTCTCTGTCATTACAAAGCAAAAGGCATTGATGACTTGGTGAAGATCTTTAGTAGAGATACAACCCATTCCCATATCATCAAATGCATGGAAAGCCTGAGGRCAGATTATGATATAAATGTGTTATTGACTAAATAGCACAACAAGAATTAGCTCAATTTCAATATAGCTGTATATCTATTACACATTCTTGGTGATCAGTTATACAAACAGGTGAATAGCACTAGATAACCTCTTATCCAACAAAGGATAATTTTATCCAACCTTTGTACAACTAGRCGTATGCATCATTGCACAATTTCATACCKTGAAAGACTGAGCATAAGTTWAATTCGCATGATGGYGAGACTTATATAGAACGAAAGATCGCACTGTAAATAAGAAACTCACAAAGTTTGGTGTTAATTGGATCGATTGGCAGCTTTTCAAAAATTCTAGATTTTACAAAGAAATGTATGGGAATTTAGAAAAATCCAGACGTAGCTTCCGGCATTCTATACATTTCTTCGGAAATTCCAGCGTTTTTGAAAGGCTGTAAATACATTTAAAATTCGGACAGTTAATATTTCTCAATACCATGCCAATTAAGCGAATTGTCTCTCACGATATGAAATGAGGCAAATACATTATGCCTAGTCTCATCCCATTAACTATATACTCCTAAATAGATATYTATACACAGTTTTCAAGGTACAATTACCTTAACTACAGTGTCATAATTGCTGCTAATTTTCTTTCTTAGTTTAGCAATAGCCTTTTCTGGGCTTAATGTCTCATGATTTTCAAACACTACAGCACTGGTAGGTTTCTTGTCTGGAGTRTCTAGGGTTACACGTCCATAACCTGAATTTCGCTGGCCTTCAAAGGCACAAAGGAATTTCTCATAAGACAACTTGTTTCGGTTTCCTAGTSCACATCTGCAAATAAAAAGTGGGGCTGTGTTATTTGGTAAATATAACATGATGATGATGATACACTCAACATTTCATGGTCTAGTCTGAGACAGATGTTTGGAAGAAAAAAAAGCTTGTTTCAGCGAACCTTTCCCTTCAATATCTGGATAAGTCTTGTCTATTCAAGTAGAGTGACACTTGCTTGTTATTCTCAGACAAGACAAAAATTGATTGACTGATTGACTGACTGACTGACTGATTGATTAATTAATTGATCGATTGATTCTCTTTGTCTCTCTTGAGCTAGGAAATACCTGTGACTTTTACTTGAGACATCGTTGAAATTTTAGTTCACCTGTTTTTTTCCAGGTGAACTAGAGGGGTGGGGTGAGGGGTAGGTTTTCAACTRACCAAGCCATATTAAAGTATTATAGCACATAATTATGTATACCTATCAAGGAGAATGCCTAGCTGAACTTCATCAAGGAAGTAATGGAAGTCAAACAAGATTTGCTGCAATTCTTGTCTTGATATGTAACCATCCCTGTTGAAATCTACTGCTTCAAATGCTTTTCGCAAGCTTTCATAACCATCACGGAAACGATCCCTGGAAATAAAACAACTCATAAATACACTGGTACAGGTACCTCTATTAAGTGGTCATCCTTTGGACTTATTTAAAAGAGCCTGGCCAGTGAATAGAGGTGCCGATAAGGCAATCATTTCCTCCATTAACATTGCAATACTTGTTTACTATCACTAGCTCCTCAACCACTTCTCTAAATATTAAAAATTCTTTGTTGAAAAATGTCAAAGAATCCTTACTTGAGACGTTGTTCAACTTCAAGGGCAGACAGGAAAGATACAGCTTGAGCTTGGTTGTGTGTTGCATTCTCATGAATTGCCTGAATAAAGACAGCAACAACAATAAAGGATAAAGGTCAAAAAATGTCCAAGTAATAGCTTCTGACAATGGAAATAAAATTATTTTTTTCTTTGGCTTAGAGATAACATGAATGTATTCAGATTTATATGTCAGTTCTTCATTACTGAAAAATTTTGATAAAAMTATTAACATTGTTTGTTGACATGCTTGTACTAAGTTCTAAAAATCAATTGTGTTTTCAGTCCTAGAATTTATAGCTGTGC